AGCTACGAGGGAGTTGCCACGAACAATTCCAAGGAGATCCGCGGCTATCGCAAGTGGATCCTCAACCACGTCAATCAGATGAACGGTCCTTGCCGCGATCTTGGCAACTACTTGCTGAGGATGCAAGCGGACGGGAAGATCCCGACAACTCCGGATCTCATCCCCGGCACTGAGCCTGTGCGCAGCTACGTCAGCCGGGCTTCCTCGTCGTGAAGACCATCCGGAGAAGACTTCATCTTCCCCGAGCTCCGCTACCAGATCTACTGATGCCTCCTGTAAATCCAAACCTGTGTATGTGTATGATATGTGTCATGTGACTGGAACGTCACACGACCGGTTCGGCCAGTTTTCTTTATAAAGGATTTTATAGGAGTGTTGATGTGAATCTGCATCAGTCATCAGCGGAGCTGCTGTGTACGCAGGCACTTTTTACGGCCTAGAGGTGGAGAAATGCTCAGGCGAGCATAGGGATCTGGCTACCAACAACCCTAAACCCTCGTTGAACCCTCAACCCTAAACCCTAAACCGCTGATATCCCCAGCCCAAACCTCGTCCCAGCGCTGGGCAAGGTAGTCTGCCAGCTGCAAGCCACACCTCAAAGCTCCAAGGCCGAGTTTGGACACCAGCGTCCATGGTAGATGGTCTAATCTCGTGTACTATAGTCGATCATAGTATAGTATACTATACTAAAAGAAAATATGCTATGATATACTATAATGTAATGTAAGGTTATGTAAGAAAATATTGTCCTGAATCCTCCTGGCGGTGATGGTGTGATGGTGTATGCCAACCCACACCATGGCGATCTTCGCTAGTCACTAAACTCACTAAACATCATGGCAACGGCTTGCAGCGTGATGGTGAACTTCGAATGTGACGCCTCTGCTGGCCCTGAGTAAGCCGCCAAAGTGTACAGGAGGAGGCCGCAAAAGACAGTCGCATTCGACCTCTGACTGGCAACGGTGCCGGCTTCCGTGGCAGAGGAGCTCAGGCGCCCACCGCCAACGTTGGCAACTTTGGCCACTCCCTGCAGGCGCCACGAGCAAAAAAACCCAGGAAACGCAGAAAAGATGCATGGTGCAGGATGGTGCAGGGACCCTTGACACGCCCGCGAGCTGCTCCAAGGATTGCGCCACGCGCACAGGAGCCTGCAACAGGCTTCACAGATGCACAGACGAGGCCAACTCCAAAAGGAGGCGCGCTCCTTGGCATCGAGAAGGCACTGAAACGCCAGCAGGGCCTCAAAAGGCCAGAACATTACGATAGAAGCTATAATTTTTCCCGGTCTAGCTTCACGAGCCGTTGATCAGGTGGTCCTTGCTGCCTGCATCAGTCGGCTGTTATGAGCTGAGCCCTCTGCATTCACCAATGCGTCTGCACCTGTGCGTGTGCAACGGGCACAAGCTCTCAGTCCCATCAATCATGGCGATGATCATGACCAGTGACGGCCACAATGACCAGGACGGTGAGGGTGAAAATGCCGATGCACAGGACGAGGCTGACCAGTATCACGATGAGGACGACAACTTCGCGACGCGCGGATGAGGAGATGAAGAGGGAGGCCAATTCCATCGTCGCTCGCGAACCATGCAGTCAAAGCTGGAGGGTGCGCATCTAACACTCATGTGGGTCTCAGCTTGCCAAACTCATGCTGCAGATCACCACGTTGATTCTACCCTTTCGACAACTAACGTCATAGACGGGAGTCTGCAAGAGATGTGGGCATTGCACCTGCGCCGAGGCAAGCTCCGCTTGCGAGGAAGTCGTTGCAGGCAGTTCCAAAGGCCGCCTCGGGATGCTTGCGGAGCTCGAACTTCAGTGTAAAATGTTACTTGTGTTTCGACGAATCAGAACGTTCAGCATTGCATAGTCCGTTCTAGATACAACCAAACATGCTCGCACATTGCGAGACTCCTCCCCTTGAAATTTGAAACCAAATTCGTGCAAGAACCCACGAAACCCAACAACTTCCTCCATGGCGGCGCCTCCGGCCGCGGCCGCATGCGAGCCAGAGCCGCCTCTGAATGGGTTGTTGCGCTTCTCCTAAATTGACTTTCAGAGCATCGCCGGCCTGGTTCCGATGCTAAACCCTAAACCCGAAACCCTAAGCCCTAAACCCTAAAAACCCTAAACCTTAAACCCTAAACCCTAAACCTTAAACCCTAAACCCTAAACCCGCCGTTGAACAAGCAGAGAACGCTGCAAACCCGAGCCCAGCTCGGAAGCCAGGCCGCCAGGCCTCATCTTCGGGAAGGAGCTCAGGAGCTCCACGCACAAATACCTCCTTTAGGGTTTAGGGTTTAGGGTTTAGGGGTTTAGGGTTTAGGGTTCGCAAGGGATCGCAGAAATTAATCGAATATAGAATAGCATGCTAGAATATAGTACAACATAACAGAAAATAATATAATATGATATCATATAGTATAATTTCTTACAATATAATATCATATAAAACGATATCATGTAATATAATATCATATAACATAAAATAGTACAATATAGTATCATATAGTAAAACATCATATAACATGATGTCATATACTATCATATGGTATAATACCATATAATATAACATAACATAATATAAAAGAAAACAGAAAAGAATATATATATATATATATAGATGATCACTTAATATATTTAAATAGACAAGATTCGAATATAATTGAACAGAATAAGAATAGAATGAAAACAGAATAAGAATAGAATAAGAATGGAATGAGAATGAGAATGATAATAGAATAGAACAGAATCAGAATTAGATGAGAACAGAATATAAAGGAAATGAATAGAATAGAATAGAATGATAATACAATTAGAACAAGAACTGGAATGGAATAAAATAGGACAAAATAGAATAGAATTAGAACAGATCCTTAGTGGCCTCTGGCATCACCTAAACGTCTTGGGATGTCTTGAGCAGACGTCTTGTCGTATGCCGACCTGCAAGTGCAGATTCCATCCCTGTCCTGCGCAGCTGCAAAGAAGACAGACGGAGGAAGCATTGAGTCACCCACGGCAAGCCTTAGAGTCTTTCAGTGGGTTTAGGGTTTAGGGTTTAGGGTTTAGGGTTTAAGGTTTAGGGTTTAGGGTTTAGGGTTTAGGGTTTAGGGTTTAGGGTTTAGGGTTTAAGGGCGGTGTTCAAGGTCTTCAAGAAGAGCTGGCATCGAAAAGAACTGTGTGGCTGAGATCATGACCTCTTGCTGTGCACCAGGTTCTCCGTCACTTTGCGCACCTTCTCCGACTTTGTACGAGTGACTCAAACAACACTCCAAACCCTTTTGCCCAATGAACCCATAAACCCTAACCGGCCCTAACCCCTACCCTAAACCCTAAACCCCAATAAACCCTAACCCCAAGCCTACCCCTCAAAAGGAGCGGCCAAAGCAACCCCGTCCTTCCAAGGCCCCTCTTGGCCTCATCGTTGAACTCAGAGCGCTGGAGCGCCAGCTTGGCCCGCTCTTCCTCTCAGGTCCCAAAAAAGCACTTAGTGTTTGGGATTTTGTTTTAGGCTCTAGGGACTACAAAACCTACTGGTTTGTTAACTACTAAAAACTATTCTACATTGTGTTCAAGCAACAGCCCATGAACCGTGCTCAGCAAGCTGTGGCAAGAGGCATATGAAAGCTAGCAAGCCCTCCAAGCCCCCACATGTCCCGTATTGCCATGTTTTGAAGCTCTTGCTGCTACCTGTGCTACTCCTACTCTTGCGATGAGGTCCTCCAGCTGACTCCGAAGCTTTGCGAGGTCTCCCTGCTCCTTGCTGAGGTCCTCTCGTCCTGAAGCTCTGGGATGCAGGGTTTGTGCTCATGCGCCCGATCCGTACCATACTTCGTATGCAGGGTGGCGCAACTGAAGGTTTCGCGCTTAGGGCTCACAGGGTCTAGGTTTGGGCATCTCCGAATGCTACAACCCCCATCCCAAGCTGCTCCTCGCTGAAGGCGCCGCCGCTGCTTCTCGAGTTGCACCTGATCCTCCATGCCATGACGGGCTCAAGGCTGAGGGTTTCGGGTCTGTCACGGAACAAGGTAACGACCCGTGCATGTTGCGTCTTCATCAGCACGCAACGTAGTGCGGCTACTCAGAATGGGATTGGAAGGCACGCCTGTCGATTTGCACGAATGTAGTGATGCCGCCCCACGACAAGATGGCTTGGCAAGCACATAGTAGCTTTGGAGAAAAACTTGACACACAATCACAACATCGGAGCTGCGTGGCTCAACCCATATGTGGCCTACCCCACAAAGAGCGCGCTTCAAAGGGAACTTCCGCTTCGTGCCTCCTGGTATCTTGCCAGTTTTGCCTGGCGAGCAGTCTGCACTCAAGCTGGAAGGAAAAATCACCGAGTCCTGGAAGACATCAAAAACCTTCAGTCATCACATGTGTGAGTCTCTGTCGTCATCAGCATCGTGATCGGCCTCATCGTTCGCCAGCACCAGAAACATTCTTACCATGGTAGCAGCCACTGAACCAGATATTCCTGAGGCATGGAACGGTGCAGCCTGCAGCGTCTTAGTCTTAGTCACTCCACATCATCAAACCACTCTGTCATCCTGCCAAACTAGACATGATGAACCACATGGGTTTAGGAGTTGAACCACGAATCCCAAAAACAGAACCTTGCGGTGGCGCACTTCACAGGTCGACCAGCCTCCAACTTCTCTGTAACACTCCTCAGGCGTCTCATCCCGGAGCTCACCTTCTTGATCCTGCGCGACTTCAGGTCGCGTCAACGGTCCGCTTCTTGCAAACACCCTCGCATGCCTTATGCTTATGCCCAGCAGGAGACGATGACACTGTTGGTGTTTGATGTTGATGTCCTTGGTCTTGATGGTAATGATGATGTTGGTGGTGGTGTTGCTGATGGTGATGGTGTTGCTGATGGTGATGGTGCTGATGGTCACGGTGGTGATGGTGATGACGATGATGACGAAGGCGACAACGGCAAGACTTACTCATGCAGCGATGGTCAAGAGGAGTAGGCCGAGGAAAAGGAGGAGGACAGGGACAGGAGGTAGATTGTAACATTATGACTAAAATATGACGATGATAAGCGACATGCACACGGTGATGATGCCGAAGGATGGTGGTTGTGATGCTGATTATGGTGCTAATGATGACGGCGGCGGCGGCGGTGGTGGTAGCGGTGGTGTTGGTGATGATGATGATGATGATGATGCGATCATGACGATGATGCTGATCGAGATCGTGGAAATGGTTATGGCGACGGCGATCATATGATGGTGCTGGTGCTGACGCTGGCCTGGTGGCGCTGGCATTGGAGCTGGCTGGTGTTGGTGCGGGTCCTATGGTTGCAGCTGCTGTTGGTGCTGGTGCTTGTGATAAGGAGGAGCAGGAGGAGGAGGACGAGGAGGAGGAGAGTGCGCCGGATACTCAGGATGATGAAGGTAAGGGAAGTAGGGGAGTTCTTCACACAGACCTTGATAATTACATGATGGGTTGACGCTTGTCAATTCATTGGGAGCAGATGTCAGCAACATTGCAGGACTCTGAGATTTCATGTAATGATGCCCACCCGGATTACTCGCTTGTGTGATGTACATCCGTCGGTTTGAGTGTACCTACATACACTGTATCCAGCCAAACATATGACATACACTTACTTACTTAATTACTTAATTACTTACTTATTTACCGACTTACTTACTGACTTACGTACCTACTTGCTTACTTACACGTACTTACATACTTACATAAATGCCTACATACGTACGTACACACACGTACGTACGTAAGTACGTGCGTACGTACGTACGTACGTACGTACGTATACGTACAATATTATAAGGGTCCCGGCTTTCGGGTTCCCGGCCCCCCGCGCTGCATCCTCCCATCGAAACCAAGCACATACGCAAAGCAGCCGTAAGACCGAAAGCCGAAACAACCCTAAACCGTGCACCCCATACCCCGTATACTTAGTGCAGGAACGCACCAATTTTTCTTGAGCCATGCAACGGTGATAGTCGGCTAGTCGACAATACAGTTACCATCAAAACACCCCCCGCGCCTCTTAGGGCAGCGAAGAGAGGCGGAAGTAGAAGTACTAGCGACTACACACAAAGTTGCGAAATGAGAGAAATGATAGACCGGTCATTTATGCCTCAGGCATAGCAGAACACTTGGTCATGAAAGCAAACACACAATGGCGGTGCGCCCGATCGGTCAGCCCCATACGCGGGCCGTCCCTCCCGGGAGGCATACATGGACTGGGAGCTCTTACTTACTAGCTCGACCTGTCCTACCCGCCAGGGTGGAATTCAAAAGAAAAAGATGCTGCTGTGCAAGCTACTGATCGGCACAAGACGCGGCCCTCAGTACTTGCGGATGCCATCTTGCGTTTCCTTCCATCCCGAGAGGAAATATTGCACGTGCTCGGGGGACATGAGAAGGTGGACCCTCAGGCTCGCGAGGCTGATCGCGTCCAGTCGCTGGCACGTCCCTTCCGGGCGGCGGAGTAGACGGCTCGGTAGGCCGCATCCGTGTTGCCGAAACCATCGGAGAGGGGTCGCGTGGTCGAGCCTTAGGCTTCGGGGGCATGGATGCCGGGCGGTATGTGGATGATCCCGCCACTGGAACCGAAGGAGGAGTTCTGGGAAGCGGTGGTTGCGCAGATCGTCCTCGCTCCTGTGATCCCCGGAAATAGTATCCCGTGCTTTCCTGAACTTGATAGCGTTGGGGCATGCGACGGGCGTAGCGGGTGTTGGCGATGAGGTCGTTCAACTGCCTATCCCCCAAGCTGGCAAACCCTTCCGGGATGTTCAATGTCTCGCCTGGTGGCAATACCAGCTCCTTTCGAGACTCACCACGCTCAAGAGCATAGTTGACCTCGTACTGGAAAAAGCCAACGATGGCCGCGAGAATCTGGGATGCCGGCCCGTTGGGATGGATCTGGCGACCGCTGAAGCCCAGAATATCAAAGGATTTGCCATTGCGGTGGACAGCAACCGCCAGCAGAGCCGCTTCATCCAGCTTGTAGAAGCGGTCTTGAAAGGCAATATAGCATTGTGTCGTGAGAGACACGTCCACAGCTTCCGCCGGGAATGAGAAGCATACCTTGGCGATCCCCTCGAAACCGGAGCCACCTTGGACCTGCTCTCCGGGCCGGGGCGGGTTGGCAATCCTCATCTGGGCACACACCATGAGCTGTTCGAGCCCCTTGATCGTCACGCCAAATCTTGCATTGTTGTAGGCCGCAAAGGGGTCTTTGTTGTGACGCTCGATGGTGTCCTGCACGCCAACCTTGGCCGCTCTGCCCATGTGTTTCAGAGCTTGTTGGCGAATCAATGCCGGCCCCGAGCCCATGGACCTCTCCTTCTTCTGCCCCGTGGCCCGATTCGCGTTGATATCGGACCTCGGTTGGAGCGCCATAAAGTTCATAGGCTCACCCTTCCGGGCGGCGACTCTCTTGGCCTTCTCAGCATCCAACGCAATGCTTATGTCGGAGTGAGGTTCGAGCCGCGCGTCGCACCGGAAACAGTGGAGGGTCCCATCCAGATTGGATGTTAAGCATTTCGGGCACGCGAAGGATATTCTCCTGCCTCTTCCAGTCCATTTCCGAGTTGCACTGGTTGAAGGGCTTCTTTGGTGCCAAGTGAATGACCACATGATGGTGCATCGTGCCGTGCAAGGCATGCCCTTTCGGGATGTTCAGCTTCAGGCCACCAGACTCGAGGGAGTAGCGGTCAAGAGCGAAGACATCCTGAGAATTCTGGGCAGCAACCTTCCAGTTGGCAAACGTGGCAGAGCCCAAGGTCTGGAGAACATCCATATAGCAGGAGGTGTCCCCACACTCCTTCTTGAGAATGCGATGCCCTTCGGGACCGAAGATCGGCAATCCCATCGACTTGTCCTTGCAAGCATTGGCCAGGCGCTTAAGGGTTCGTACGCACGATTGGACCAGATGGGCTCCATCGTCTGCCGATCGTAAGCATAGATGAGGGCGCGGTTGGACACCCAGTCAGGTGTCTGGATTGCACCGGCCTTTGTGACGAAAAATCGACAACCGTCACACGCTGCGACCTGAAGGTCAATGACAAACTCAAGCTGTGCGCCAGGGCGTACCCCTTGATTCGAGCGGTTCCACTGGGCCTCTGGGGCCATCATGACGAAGGGTCTCCCTGAGTTGCACTTCTTAGTCATACTCCCTCCCGGGAGGAGCCCAACCGAAGCAATCTTCTTGAAAACACTGTAGTAGGTGGCATGGTAAGTCATCTTCGGCATAAGATCGAATGCCTGTGCTCGGTAGGGCGCAAACCCGCAGTCGGGGGAGATTCCCAGTGGTCATCCAGTGCCCACTGTTGGACGGTTGTTGCCTTGGGGTCCTTGTCGAGGACACGAAGAGAGGTGGCATGGCCTTGGAAAGCCCGGATCCTGGTGAACTTCCAGTTGGATCCCGTGCCCATTGCTGTCTCTTGGTCCAAGGCTTCCGCCAGGAGCTCGAATCGGCCTTTGTCCACATGACGTGATGTCATGAGGTCCAATATGGTCTTGACTGACACCCCAGACCATTGGCGGCCAATGACTTTGATGAGCTCCTCATTATCCGCCGACAGCTCCTCGTCCAAATCCACCGTTTTCACATTGCGCAATTTTGCAAAACCTCGCAGGTGGAACGAGAGTTTCTTGCCCAGCGAGACCGCTTCATACTCGGTCAGGCGGAGATAGTTCATCTCCTTTGACACGTCCCGGAGCTGGTCCACAGTATAAGCCATAATGCCTCGGGTCGCCCACTTCCGCGGGGAATCACCTCCACATCGTCGTCGCCCTCCGGGTCATTCTCCTTAGTGGGCTCAATTACGCAGTACTGGTAAGCTTCCCGGATCGATCCATACGCATCGTAAAAGTATGCTGGTGCCTCAAGGACCATCGCTTCCGCGAGGCAATCAGGATTCTTCAATGCCTTGCGGAATGCCTCCAATCGGCGGCGACGCTCCTCCGTCGACACAACGGGCTTGGACGATGACGACATGGCTTTGTCGAGATCTGGGAAATGCTCACTCGCAACAGTTTGTACCGCGACAGCAGCTGGTAGCGCAGCAGGCTTCAATGTGCTCATGCTTTCTATAACAAAATCAGGGAAAACTTTCGACCAACTAGCCGATAATTTAGGAAGCATAGTTCGCAGCTTCCAGCGACCGTCAGGCTCGTCAGGAACTTCATAGCTGATACACCTGTGGTTAGAACACCATCTTTCAACACGATCCATCTTCCATGCAGAATGGTTCCAAGGACCGACAATCACGTAACGGCATCCTAGGGCATCTAGTCCGGTACTGAGATTCACGAACGTGGCCCACAGCCTGCAGAAGTCCTTCTTGTTCTCACAAGCATTGTCGGGACCCCCCGCAAAACGAAGGTCAAGCCAAAGGATCAGGTTAAGACCAGCCTTGTAGTGACTCTTAGCAACCTTGAGGGTATCACGACAAGTTTCGACTTTGTTGAGGTCCATACCATGCGTCACCCTAATGAGTACCTTGTTTTTATCTCTGGCAAAGTCTGCCCTTTCGAGCAGAGACGAGGCGGGGTCAAAACCCCATTCAATCAATACCCCGTCATACTCGGGCTCGATCCTAGAGTCATAGGCAGCGCCAGCGTTCTCAAGCTCGATAACGGGCGAAGCAGGCCTCGTAGTCTTGATGAAAGAATGGCCGATCAGGTAAACTGCTTTCTTCCACTTGTCCACACTAGT